GTGTTTAAATCCATTACTTAAAAAGGAAACAAACACCTAAAGCCAATAATCTTTTTGAATAAAAAAGCAAAGACATTGACCTCGTAGCCTTTGGATTTGCGCAGATGAACACAAATTTATATCTTCCTTGCATTTGGTAAAGAGTCCCTTAGGATCGGCTTCTGGTGTCGCCAAGATGTTTTGGATCTTAATATTGCAAAATTAAGGCAAAGCACAATCGTAAGATGTAATATGAACTTGATTTCTACGTGATTAGATGAAACTATAAAAAATTTGTGTTTCAAAGCTTTACCTGAAATGTATCATATATAGTTTGTAATATAAAAATAGGTGTTTTGACATATGACATGGCAAATTGTGGGTAGAAACACTGCAATATCATTATTTTACATGTTCATCAGTAAAGTGCGTTCTAATAATTTTATAAATATTAGAAATGGGATCAAGATACATGTGCTTACTAGACTTGGCTTCCGTTTCGAAGTACATTCAGGATACAAATTCTTGGATGATCCCTATAAGCACAAAAAAAATGTTTATCTTCCAATTTATATAATGTTCAAACACTTTATATCAGTACGAGATCATAGTATTGATAACATACATGTAATGTAACCACTTGATCATAGTACTCCTCAAACTTATATCCTCCAGAGAGGTCTTTTCTGTTAAAATTCAACAAAAAACACATGTGAACCTTATTAATTTTGGCATGTAATGTTCTACAAGGGTCATGTAATTGGATAAGGTTATTTTGGTGCTAAGTTAACAAATGGAAGTCGTATACTTATATATGATCATATCTATTGAACAAATGTAGCATTTTCTGATGTAGGAAGATAAACTTACACATGAGCAAAATAACCAGCATCTGAAAAACATTTTACTCGAGTACTTTCTGGAAAGATATCTCGAAACTTGTCACAGTGAAGTATGGAAGCCAATCCACCTGCTGAAGACCCTGACAAAAGAGCCTGTTGGGATCGGTGTATAACTTTTGTAAACTAGGAACAACAAATAATATACAAAGAGAAGGGGTCATGGGGGATTTTACATTTGATGCAAACTTCATTCCTTTGGTAAGCAACTCCTCAATAATGACATTGAAGATCCTTGCACCCCTAAAGTGAAGATTTGTAGCCTTCAAAACGAACGACAATGAGAATGCATGGAGAATAAGAATGTTCAACTATTCTTATTATTTTCGGATGACGAAGACCATATATTGTATATAGTATATATTTTGACTAGTTGTGAGACTCGTATACTATACAGGTTGATTAAAAGAAAATATTAAATATGAAGTTTATTTGAATTTGAAATTTGAAATAAGTGAAAATTATGAAAAAAAAAACATGCGAAAAAAAAGGGGAAATGACGCAACAACCCTATTATATATTACGACTTATCCCATTGAGTCCCTAAAGTTATTTTATTGCCCTCTAAGGGAACAAAATTGTTTTTGTCAGTTTTAAAATGTCCCTTCACAATTTTGAAGGGGTAAACTGACCCCTTTGCCATGTCACTAAATGAAATGCCAGATAAGAGCATTTCTTATTTAACGAGAGCATTTCCTTGCTTCTTCTTCTTTTCTGGCACTCCTCCACCATTACCGTCGACACCATTCTTTCCGGTCACTCCTCCGTCCCCATCATCACTGGTTCAACCACCGAACAAAATTTGAAAAAAAACACATCTTCAAACCTATTTTCTGCAATCCAATCCAACACCGAATCAGCCATGAAATCAGCAGACACGATGATGAAGACGAGAACCTCAAGCTGTACCAAGGAAGAAGTGGATTAGATTCTGATACAATTAGGCAGGCTTAGCCGGAGCAATTCCTTCGGATCTCAAACTGTTCACCTCCTCCTTCCCAACCACCGCCGGTTTGAGAGCCAAATACAAATCCATCTGCAATCTTCGTCGATTTCTTTGCACATGGTGACGATTTCAAACATTTGAACCCTAGATGGGGAAAGGAAAATTAAAGGAGATTGGGCAAGGTTCCCATTTCAGATGAAGGTGGCGTTCAAGAAATCAATATGGTTTGTTCTTTAAATCCTAAATAACGTTAGAGAGAGAGAGAGAGAGAGAAAAAGAAGAGAAAGATGGATTTAATTTATTTTTTTTAATTAACTAAAAGACACCTGCATCTATTAACCGGCTAAAAAGGTTAAGGAGACTAGATGAATAGGTCACTAACCAATTTGTTCCCTTAAAATGCATGAAAAAAACTTTAGGGATTGCAAAGGTAAAATCGAAATACATAGTAGGGTCATTGCGTCATTTTTCCAAAAAAAAAGAAATTAAAATTATGTGTTTGGTTGTCATACCCGTGTACTAAACGAGTTAATTATAGCAAATTGTTAAATACAAAGGTTTAAATTGTAAATTTATTTGAAATTGAAATCGAAATTTCAAATTTCAAATTAATTGTCATTATGGTACGTTTAATTTATGGAAACTAAATTAATAATATATTGGAAAATAAAAAATAAAGTAAATGACAAGTTTATTTTATGGAAACTAAATTAATAATATATTGGAAAATGAAAAATGAAGTAAATGACAAGTGGAAAATAAATATCTTAAAATTATGACAAAATGACATGTGAGTAATTGAATGAGAGAACGACATGTGACAGAATGAATCTTTATTTATTAATATAGACTAGGTGTGAGACCCATATATTACATGGGTTAAATAAAAAAAATTAAATATCAAAGTGTAAACATTAAATATTTTTTGAAATTAAATTTTAAAATAATAAAGGAAAAAACATATTTATGGCAATTTATGATCATATTTATTATATTTAATACTTTACTTATATAACTATATGCATTATGTAGCTTTTTAATTTTAAAATTTAAAAAAACTAGAAATTGACATGATATTATTTATTTCAAAAATACCACAAAATGACAAGTGTCAAAACTTATAAAAGATTGACATGTGCCAAAATGAATATTCATTTATTAGGGTAGATTTTTGTATTGATTTTAAAAATCTATAAATGAAATGGACCGAACTAAGAGCACTTAAATTCCTGGAAAACATGGGAATGCTTGTTATTATGACTTATGAGTGAAAAGAATTTATGATTTTTATGTTGCATGCTTTTTTTACTAAGAATTGTAAGTATGTTGTTATTTTGGGTAACAATTATAAATATGTTGTCATTATGGATAACAACTATATGTTACAATATTGGTTGGAGAAATTAAATATTTTCCTACAATTTGTTCCTACTTTTCCTCCTATCATATCAAATGTTGACAAGTGGATTAAATGATTATTAATTTCATTAAATGTCTAATTAAACGTGACACATGTTAATATTTGATATGGTAGGATGATAAGTAGGAATAAAATGTAGGAAAATATTTAATTTTTCTATTGGTTGTAAATGTAATGACTATTAGTTGTAATATTATGTTGACAATCTATTAAGTTGATATTAATCGATCACATATATTAAATTCAGTTTTTATGTTTCGAATTTATTTGTAGGCGTTGTAAAAAATATGTAATGTAAATTTGTAAAAGAACTAATAAATAGAATGTTCTTTTTGGCAATCTTTATAAATTATAAAATAAAATATATTATAAATATATTTTTTGGTGCAGAAATGTTGTAACAAGTTGTAGATACCATTAAACCAACTACCATTCTGATATAGAAAATGATGAGGACATCCTACCTAGCCAAAACATTAATTTTTGAATAAAACTTAAATATTATCGGTAGTCAATTTTAAATCAAATTGGCTTAATTGCTGGTTTCCAAAAATTACAATGATTAATATGTTGTTTAGAAGTTTTATTGCTTTTTTAATAAAAGGTAAAACCATTAAAAAAGTACAAGATAAGGCAATGCAATGATGATATAAATGTATGGTACACATAACACATGACTTACAGGATCAACTTCTTCCACATCGCCAGTAAATGATGACCCATCACAGTACCTCACAGCGACTCTATTCCAATTGTAGAAATCTATCCAAATTCATTAATTACAAAATAATCAAAAATAATTTCCAAATTAATTCTTTGATACTTATTGTAAGTTTGTAACTAATATCATAATAAGTAATAAAAATACGTACTCGGATTAAATTCTTGCTTATTGCTCAAAATCCCTGTGAAGTTGTAATCAGAACTCTTCATCATCTTTGAGGACCCGAATCGATTATACATTCGTGTACGACAATCTTCTACTGAATTGCACCATCCCCCACCCTATCATATATAAACACATTCACCAAGATATATACATACATGCATACATATACATACATACATAATAAATACACATATATATACACATATAGTGACCTGTATATGAATCAGCCAATTGCGAAGGCCTTCACCAAAACCTGCATCAAACTGGTATGCCGGTGGGCTTCCATCCAAACAAACTTCCGACCACCATTGTTACCACAGTAAAAAATCAAATCTTCCTAAAAATAGAAAGAAAGATGGTTAAAGAATCGAAAGCCACCTGCTCCTTTGGCCACAGCTCCTTCGATGATGTTTATACCACTAAGTATACCCTCCTCACTTGTACTTTCTGTTTTTAGAAAGATGAATAGACATACAAGTGTCTGTGTTAGCCATTGGTTTGATGTTACTTTCACCATAGTATAAATTCGAAAATTTGTTAATGAAAAAGTCAAGTCTAGATATGTGTGTATATATAATGTATAAGCGGGTTTACTTTTGAAATATATTAATAAGAAAATATGATATAAAAGGAAATTGCTTTATTTGTTCATAAAGTTTCTTTTTTGACATTATTTTATTCAAATCACATGTCTGATTTCTTAGTAACATGTCATCCTTTTGATTTCTTTTTATTTTCGTTTTTCATCGTACTAATTTAGTTATTTTAATAAGAAAAATATGTAAATAATATAATTATTATAATCTTAAAAACTATAAACAGATAGTTTGAAGACGTTTTTTCTTTTTATGGAGATCGATGCATACTACCACCCTCCCCTGGTTGATGCAAACTGGGCGCGTGGTTCAAGGCGTGGAACGTGGAGTTTGCATCCCAAATTAAAAAATAGTGTTTGAGTAATTTTCACGAATAGTCGCTGTGGTTTGGGCTAGTTTGTGTGTTTGGTCTCTAACTTATTTTTTTAACTCGGAAGGTCTTACAGTTTGTTTTTGTTGCGCACTTCGTCCCTGTCTTACCTAAAAAAGACTATTATGCCCTTATTAATTTTGTTATTTATTTATTTATTTTAATTTGTATTGTATATTTTATTATTTATTATTAATCTAAAACTCAGTCTTCCATCCAATTCCTTTTTGTGGGAGTATGCCACCAAAGTAAACTACCACCATTTATGCCACCACCACTAAATACCCAACATGCAAGAATCACAACCTCCTCTTCCTTCCTTGCTAAAACAACTGCCATCCACCACCAGCCACTAACAACCATGGTCATATTCTTGAAACCAAATCCAAAATTAAGAACAAACATGATGAATCAATATCAAAATCAAAACTTGTAATCAACACCAAATTAAACCAAAATCAAGAATAATCATGAAACCTATTTCCGGAAAAACATGGTGGTGGCTCCGATGAAATGAGGGGAAGGGAGAAGAAGGAACCAGATCAGAGTTTACATCTGAAGGTGGTGGCTCCGCCGTTTTCCCTTTCGACATCAAGATGCAGGAAAGAAGACATTAAGATATCAGTTTTCCCTTCCTCATTCTGATTCAATTGCAACGAACGATTTGTAGACCACATAAAGCTACCATCGTGAAATCAAAACCCTAGATAGTAGTTTACGAGATGTTCTGAAGAACCAAAACCACGAGACTTTATGTTACAGTTGGTTTACAATAATGAGAAATGGGTATCAAAACCCTTTTTCGATCAAAACCCTAGATGCGTCTTGAACTTACAAATGACTTATAAGAACGAAAATGGGAAGATGTCAGTGAAGGAGAACCTTAAACTGTTGATCGTTAGAGGAAGAATGTGATGAGGAAGATGGTGAGGTTGGGTGCAGGGGAAACGAGAGGATGAAGTATACGTTGGAAGGAGATGGTGAGAGGTCGTTGACAGAGGAGAATTTGGGCGGCTATGATGATTTCCAGCGGATGTGGAGGTTTCCGGCACTGTTTTGATTTCCAGTGGCTATAATCTTCCAAGCCACTCCAATGATTTAGGGTTGAGTTAGAAGAGAGAGATACTGGGTTTAGAAGGAGAGAGGAGGGTATGTTTTTAATAATTTAAATAATAAATATACAATAATAAATTAAAATAAATACATAAATAATAAATATTTTTAATAATTTAAATAATAAATATACAATAATAAATTAAAACAAATACATAAATAATAAAATTAATTAAAAAAAATAATAAGGGCGTAATAGTCTTTTTAGGTAAGACAGAAACCAAACGCGTAATAAAAACAAACAATAGAGACCGTCCAAGTTAAAAAAAATAAGTTAGGAACCAAACGTGCAAATTATACCAAACCATAAGGACCATTCGTATAATTTACTCATAGCTGCATTAAAGATATATAGGAATATTCACGAAAGTTATTATTTTTTAAAATATTTATAAAAAACAGATAAAAAATGATTGGTATCTTCAAAACCATCAAATTGCGAACATGTTTTATGAGTTTGAATATGTTCTTTATCAGAATATACAAGTTTGAAACTACTTTTTGATAAAAGAAAATTCAAAACTTTGAAAATTTAGAACTATCCATGCAGTTTCGAACTTGTTCATGTTTTGAATTGGGTTTGTAAGTTTCTAACTTGTTTATTTAGTTTTGTTAGCGTATATTAGGGGTGTGCATCAAACCGCATAAACCGCCTGCACCGCACCGCATAATGCGGTTTAGAACGTTTGCAGTGCGGTTTGTTATTTCGTTAAACCGCACTATGTGGTGCGGTTTGCGGTTTTCAATTACAAAGTCACGGTTTAAACCGCACTGC